CTTTTAGGATAAGCTTAAAATCAACTAAAGTATTAATTGAAAAATAGATCTTGGGAGATGTTGGTATCAGAGCCAAGTTAAAATTACAGTGGTGAACTGTAGTTGGAGATACTGTTCTGTAGGCTAATAGCTTAATAAAATTTGACATTTAAGATAAATCCGAGAGTTGAGACCAGAAGTCGTCGTGACCCGTATTGCCAAAAACAGGCCAAAAGAGCCACTGAAAAGGCACAAGGATTGTTTCCGATTGACTCGTGTACTCATCCGTTATCTTAAAATAGAAAATTTTATTTGGACATTGTCCAATATAACAACATCTTCATCAAACGGTACATTACGAATAAAAAATAAGGAGGAAATAATTATAGATAATATTGAAAAGCAAATACAAAATTGGAACATCCCAAGAGTTCCTATATCTGACATATATAAGAAAGGAACATTTGAATTTAGGACTGGTTATTCTATTAAAACTGTAGAACAAATATATATCTGTTAATAATGAACAAGAAAGTTTTCAACTTTTATCTGATCCAATGATTCAAAATCATAAAGCTAAAGAATATAAGTATCTACATATAGGACTAATTCAAGTAGCAATTAAACCTCTAACTCGATTAGGATTAAATAATTCTATACTTTTATGTTTAAGAGATAGTCGTCATAATAAATTTACTGATTCCTTATTAGGAGTAGTTGAATCTGGCTTATGTAATAGACCTATATATTTTAATTGTTTTCCTAATTTTTCTATTTCGTTAACAGACCCTAATCTCTTAAAGGTCCTCACCTTGAATCTAAAAACTCAAGGGTTTGATATGAACCCTGGTTCTCAAAATATTGCTTTAATATACAGGATATGCTATAGGGTAATGAATACCTTTAAGTCCAAATGTTCTTCAGAAAGATACTAAACGACAAACGATATTTTTTCAAACTAACGCTGAAAAATCTAATACAGTCATTCCTAAATCCGTAAATTGGTCCCAAATTATTCTTCCTGATAATTGGTCTATATATAATGAAAATTAACATTATAGGACCCCAATAAACAGAGAACCCGATCAAATTATAGAATATCTTGATGGAGATATTGAAATCCAATTCAACTCTAATAGAAGAACCAGACTTAACCTCTCAGAAGGCTTTATCAAAACTCCAACTCCTACACCTTTTAGGCATTCTACTTCTTCAATATCTCAAAGACCAATAATAGAAGGCTTGACCTGAACTAATAGTAATATCCATCAACTTGTCTATAAGATATATGACCTTAGCTCATCTAATAACGAACCAACACCTTCAGACTTAGACTTTAATATTCTTACTCTTCAAAGATAAGAAAAAATAGACCTAGAAGTAATCAAGAATGATTACCTTTTCGAGAAAAATAAAGAAATTCGTGACTGGTATTTAACAGAATTTCCTCAAGAACTACTGGATGCTTTTCATAAAAGATTTAATAAATTTATAAAGAAAAATAAACAAACTATAGGATTTTTTGACTTGCTACGATCCACTATGAAAGAAAAAGATATCCCAATCTTCGTCTTCGGTTTAAACACCATAGAAAACCAATATCAAGCATTTTATACTACAAAAGGAGAAGAAATACATAGTATACATCCTCCTGATAGGAGTCTCCAATTAAAAAGGACATTAAAAGAAAAACCTGAAACTAAACCCTCTCCCTATAAGATAATTCTTAAATAAACTGACCACCACAGTCATAAAATAGATGTTATACCACATATAATTGAGCAAAACAATTATACTAATCTATGCTTACAAACAATTGGAAAGCAAACTACCAGGATTGATAATACAGTAAATAAATTCCAAAATAACAAAACCAAATTAAACGAAAAGGAAAGCAAAAAGGCTGTTCTATTTAAACCTCCTTCAGAAATTAATAAAGACGATTCAGTTTGGATGGAATGAAGAAAATAAGGATTTAATAGATGAATTGGTAAAGAAATTAGCCAAACTAGATATAAAGGGTAAAAGAGTTCTAGTTGAATCAAAAGCTATGGTATTGCAAGAAGAGAATTCAACCAATGATGAAATACATGAAATGGAGGAAGCATTTAAAGAAGGAAACCTTATTAGAATAGATTATGGAAAAAAGTTCAGGCCTACTTCCCATACCAGAATGTATCATTCAAGGTCTACCCCTGTAGATATACAATTTGAAAAAGACCTAATATCCAGTGCAGTGTCTTACTGTGGAAGAGCAATAGTTAATTGGAATATTGATGGTATGTCTGATCATCAGATACTAGACACAATGAAACATATGACAATGTATTCAACAACCTGTAAAATAAGTGGTAATCATGATCAGGAGATAGCTAAGGCTATTGTATGCGGTTTTACCCGTTGGCTAAGAGGATGGTGGGATTTTCATATGGATGAAACCATCAAGAGAGAAATATTGACTGCCACAAGGCAATGGATAGTGAAAAATGAATATGGACAAGATATAACCAATAGTGAAAGCGATGCAGTAAACACCCTTATATATACAATAACTCTCCATTTTGTAGGGAGTACTGCCCTGTTAGATGCCTGATCTGAAGATCTTCTATCTAATCTTAGATGTCCAATATTATCTCATTACAAATGGTATAAAGACGTATTCTTTTCTCGGCTCCTTTCCAGAGAAGACAGTAAAGCTGATCACTGGAAAGAAAAGTTTATTGCCGGATTACCATACCTTTTTGCCGAAAGAGTTAAAAATAGATTGAAAAATAAACCTAACGAAATAATTTCTTACTCTCTCTTTATACTTTAGGAGAATTATCCGCTGAAATATGTGCGGAAGGACTTGCCTTATGTACTGACAGTTTAAAATTCGAATTTGTAGATAAACCAAAAATAAGAGAAGTTAATAATGTGAAACATATTATTTCAAATAAAGAAAAGTTTCTTTGCCATTTAAAAGAAGAATTAAGATATAAAATAATAGAAGAAAAACTCTCTTTGGCTGAAAATATAAAATATATAGCAAACATTAAAGCATATAGTAAGCTTGCCATATGAAGAAGGATTTAATGAAAATAAAATACCCACAAAAGCTAGACCTATTCAAATGAATTCTTGACTACTAGAAATATGCAAAAAAGAAATTGATGATTTACTCCAGAAACAGCTTATCAGAAAAAGTTCATCACCATGGAGTTGTTCAGCATTGTATGTCGAGAAGGCTTCTGAAAAAGAGAGGGGGGCCCCTAGACTGGTAATAAACTATAAACGTCTCAATAAGGTTCTTAAATGGATAAGGTATCCAATTCCAAATAAAAAAGATTTACTTGATAGACTGTTTAGCGCTTGCATATTTTCTAAATTTGATTTAAAATCAGAATATTGGCAAATCCAGATTTCTGAAAAAGATAGGTATAAGACTGCTTTTAACGTTCCATTTGTATAGTACGAATAGAATGTAATGCCATTTGGACTAAAAAATGCTCCTTTTGAATTTCAAAATATCATGATTGATATCTTCAATCCATACATGATAATTTATATAGATGATGTTCTAATATTTTCTGAAAATTTAGAACAACACTTTAAACATATAAATGTTTTCATAAATGCTACAAAAAATGCAGGACTGGTGGTCTCTGCCAAACCAAAATAAGGTTTTTGGGACATAATATTTTCCAAGGAAGTATAGTCTCCATAGATAGGGCAATTGAATTTGCTAATAAAGTCCCATATATTATATTAGAAAAAATTGAACTTCAAAGGTTTCTGGGATGTCTTAATTATATCGCCGATTTTTATAAAAACTTGGCCATTGATGCTAAACCTTTGTTTCAAAGGTTAAAAAAGAATCCACCAAAGTGGACTGATGAACATACTCAGCTATCAGAAAAATAAAAATAAAGGCAAAGGCATGACCTTGCCTTACACTCTCCAATCCTAATGCTTTTAAAATCATAGAATGTGATGCCTCCGAAATAGGTTTAGGAGGAATCTTAAAACAAATAATTTTCGAAAAAGAACAATTAGTTCGTTTGACTTCCAAAGCTTGGAACCAGACTCAGCAAAACTATTCAACAGTTAAAAAAGAGATTTTAGCTATTGTACATTGTGTTACAAAGTTTCAAAGCGATCTTCTTAATCAAAAGTTTCTAATACGAACTGAACACAGAAGGAGACAGCTTATATACTAGAGAGAGAGAGAGAGAGAGAGAGAGAGAGAGAGAGAGTAGTATC